TGCATCAGTGCTGCATAGATTTTGCTCCTCCTTGAAAATTCAGTAAGCCAGATGAAGAAGATCTATGATAAGGGGTCAATTCCTTAGCTGGTGTTTAAATTTACAGATGGAAGGAATGATTCACAGCACTGAAGATAAGAACTTAGGAATTACTCAGTATACAAATGCTCAGCTTTTATGCTACATTTATATAGTTTTGAGGAAGTAAAGGATTATGTTCCACACTCACGTCCTTTTTGTTGAATTCCCCTTCAGGAGACCAGTGGCAAAGAGGAACACATCTTTAGTGAACACCTGCAACCAGTTCCTTCCTCAGACACTGAAATAGATTTTCCTCACACTGCATTAAAACAAGATGCAGACTGTTCCCCTTCCCACACCCACACCGCATATCGCAATGGTGCCAACATGAGAGAAAGGTATTTGTGGCATCAGTCTTCTTGGGGCATCAAAAGTAGAGGTAGGTGAACCAGTTACACCTGGTTGTTATCTGGGTTTAATTTCCAATACCATACTGAGCCCAAATGTTCCCACAAGTGGGTCCTACTTCAAACCATCCAACTCTCTGTGGGGGTCTATCCTCTCATCAACACTCCCCAGGCACGAATGTAGACTGACAGACGTATTCCCCTTTTATCTCTTGATGATCTGGCCTTAAAATCCATTAACCTTGTCTGTCTTCTGGGGGAAGCCAGGAGCTTTTGAGCTACCTAAAACAGTCTGCTAGACAATCTGTTGGTGGGGGAAAGAGAAAGACACATTGACAGGGACAGACTGTGTGTAACTCAGTTAAGGGCCTACCTAGCCATATGTTTTGCAATGTTTAGTCTAGCCGTGCTTATATTCTGCTTGACATTTTTATTGTTTGTGGACAAGTTTCGCTTTCTTCAAGATAGCTGGACCTGGATTTAGCAACTTTTGGAGCAGCCACTGGTGTGTGCCTCAGAGAGAAGGAAGCTAGTGTCTGACGCTAAGGTGGGTGGAAGGAGGAATAAGATAACAGCGTGGGACTTGGTTAATAGAGGAAGGGGTTGAGGCTTCCTTCTCAAAAGGAAACTGGCATAGGTCAATGTGTCACAGGGCAAGCCAAATGACTTGAAGCATGCCAGGCATGCTTATGTGTGGATTACACTTACAAGAAGCTTCGGCAAGTACACAGTCCTATAATGTGAACTTACCCAGTTCCTGCATGCCACATACAAACAGAGGCTACCTCCTAAGCACTGATGGCAGGCAAGTCAGTATCGGTGTGAAAACATCCTTGCCACCAATGGCACGGAAATCAAGAAAAAAAATATTGGCTTTGGCAAACATGCAAGAAATAATTGGTGGTTTGCCTAGAATACTAAGAGATCTGAAAACACAGGTTCACCACGGTTGCTGGTGACGGGGGTGGAATAAACACTGACTTTCAGGCTGGGCAAAAAAAGGCACCTTATCCCCAGTCTAGTACATGCTGTAGACCAGAGCCGGAAGAAAAATTAAGTGGTGGTATGACACAGAATGAGAATTTCAGATCCTGCAGGCCCTTATGTAACTTGCAGAAGGCACGTCACATTCACTGTATATTTTTTTTACTCAGCAGCAAACTCATTACGCATTTAAAAGGGTTGAAATTTGTACATGATTGTTATTTGTATTATCATAGTGCCTAGGAACGCCTGCCATGGATCAGAAACCAATGTGCAAGGTGTTATACAAACCCAGAAAAAAAAGACAGTCTCTCTCCCAAACAGCTTACAATCTAAGTATAAGACAAGAGATGGCAGATGGACAAAGACAGACGGAGGAGTACAAGGAAACAGTGAGACAAATGTACAGAAAACATTTTGATATTTAGGAGCTCTATCAGCATAGAAAGTACTCATCTTATTCACATGGACATTTCTCCTGTCTACCCACCATGATCTTCGCTTTCTTCTTTATGAGCCAGAAAGAAGGCTGAGAGTACTTCCAAACACAAAATGCTGTGTCACAAATAAGACATGACTTCAGCAATAACAAGGCAAAGAACAATAAAAACAGTAGATACAATAAAACAATAAAAACAGTAACGAAAACAGCAGTAGTAGTCATACAGTACAACAGGGCCTCACTAATCTCCACACTTTGCAATATAGAGAGCCCTGCACAGATACAAATTTTGTATCCGCATCTGATCCACAATCTGCAAAAATCTGTGGATATCCGCAGATTTGCAGGGCTCTAGCAATATAGACAAAAATGTCAGTCTCTCTCATCACAAAAATATAGGACCAGACCCTCATGGAGCTCCAACTACTTACACCAGCTACGTGTCTAGCCCTCAATAGACAAGTGCTGCAGTGCAGCTTATACCAATAAGATTTCATTGTCTTTACAAAAACATGTTACTTAACAATTACTAGAACATCAGGACACATCATAAATTGAAACTTAAGTACAGTTGTCAAAATATGCTAACAAATTGCAATGTATGATGCACCATCCTTGCTGTACTGTGTATATTTACTTACTAATTTGCAACATTAATTCATCCATAATTGGGTCTCCCAGTCAACTGTGCAAATTAGCAAGGTTTTGCTGAAACGCTTCATATTTCTACAGTGCCCTTCATCAGAGAATCTCAAAATGCTTTTGTGAACTTTAGTTAACACTGCTCTACGGCCAAAATGCTTCTGAAATAAATGTAGTCAAACTTTACTAATTCTGGGTCACTGAGAACGAAAATGATGCTTAAAATTGTTGATTGGCTCTAGTTTTCAAGATATGCTATTGGGTCAGTATATACGACCCTTGACTTGGGAATGGCGGAGGATAAGTGAGTTAAAAAGGGAAGGGATCTCAATTTAAACCAGAAATGACTAAAATACATCTTTGACTGGATCTATGAATAAATCTATGACTGGGTTTGGACAGTACTTGCTTTTTAGGCAAAACAATGAATGATGCAATCCGAAGTTGGTATTGCGTCATACATGATATGAATTGCATCATGTTATTCCTAGAAGTCATGGATGGTGCAATCATAACGAAGCTTACATCACTCTGCTGAACAAATTGCCCTACATCATCTCTAGAAATCATATAGTGTCGTGCTCTCTTATTTGTCAGTGTTTGATTTTGCAAAGGGACACATTTCTGTTTAGCCAAAGTGAGCAGAGATGCCTCGTACTTGTGTGAACAGTGCAGATAACTTCTGCTATGTTTGTGGTGAAGTGACTTTTGCATCACAAAAGCGCAGTATAACCACTATGGATAAGAAAGCCTATCACCTTTATTTTGGCTGTAAAATTGGAGATCAGGACAAGAGGTGGGCCCCACACATCTGCTGCAACACTTGTGCAACAAATCTTCGCCAGTGGTTGAACAGGAAAAAGAAATCTATGCCTTTTGCAGTGCCAATGATTTGGAGAGAGCCAACAAATCATACCAGCAATTGTTACTTCTGCATGGTGCCTCCAGTTGGAAAAGGTGAGTCAAAGAAGAAAAAGTGGACTATGCATTATCCAA